AACTAGTCTCACCATCAGGTGTGATCACTGAGGCTATAGTATCTCTATACAGGGCCTTAATTGCTTGTATAAAACAATATGGAATACCGTACATTGCTAGAATTTCAAACATCACATCTCTATCGATGGAATCGAACGCCTTACGGAAATCGACAAACAGCAATACAAAATCCCTATTACATCTCTTCAACTCTTCAATTATTCGCCGTATTGCAAGAATCTGTGAAATTGTTGACCTCCCTTTTCTAAAACCATTTTGGTTCCTCCTAAGAACAGGGTCTATTACAGGGGTTAGGCGATTAAGTAAAAGTTTGTTGTATATTTTTGCAGCAATAGGAGTGGGCCCTTACCTAACTATTCGTGGACAAATCTTTTCTCGCCCGAACTCCGAAGGTCCCTCTGTCGCACTGCTGGTACTCTGAGTCTCCAGGTACACATCCAAGCACATCAGCAATCGTTGCAGCTGATTGGTCAGCAGTTGGTCATGTGACCCCTTCACCAGTAGTTCTTTGTAATGGACGTTGACCTCATGCTCCATGGCCTGCAAATGAAATATGTTGATGCCTTTGTGCTAAGGTAAAGGTACAATATGTACATGTAAAGGTCCAATACCAAACAAAAACAGAGAAAAGGGAGACATCCTGAAAACACTGGTATGATGTCTCCAAGGTCTCACCCTGGTGTTTTCATGCTTACCAGCCATGCAATTGAGTTGACACAATTCTTTGAACACAAACCCATAAAAAGGCACAGAAAAAAAGAAGACATGCTGAATACACTGGTATGATGCCTCCTGGGTCTCACCCTGATGTTTTCATCACTGCTGGCTGTCCGGTCTGTGCCCATGTTGAGATTGAGGCTGAAGACAGGAGGACAGGTCAGGTAGCCGGGGCTCAACAAGACAGCTGCTGTCAAAGTGGCTGTGATGACGGAAGGTACAATCAGTGATGTGTTCAATCAAGCAAAAATCCAAAACAAAAAATTGTTGATCTTCTATGCGCAAAGCAAATCTTGATATGAGCAAAGAGGTATACATTTTACCACAAATAAGCCCTGTATTCCAGTCCCTACCTGAACCACGCTGCACCACTGCAAGGTAGAAGTTGTCAGTTTCATGGACCATTCCTGAATCTACAACAGGCTGGCTGTAAGGGAGGACCTGGGGTACAAACAAAAAAAGCAACTGTTTTGTCACATAGGACATTATTTCATACCCATCAGATAAAAACATTTAAGTGTATATGATATTCTTATCATTTTGTTTCAAGAATAATGACAACTTAAACCCAAGAAATTACATGTATCTAATTTTTACATTTACAGTCATGTCAGCACATTTACAATTTTTCTTTTTACTCACGATGTAGTCATCATAGGTGATGGACTTCCATGTTGTCAGCCTTGATGTGATCTTGGTTGGGAAGAGATGCTGACATTCCCTGTTTACTGGGACTGAGCCTCTCTCTGGCAATACAATATAGGATTTTAGACATACATTCTGTGACAAGATTTTCATAACATTGTGTTTGGAAGATGCTAAACTAAAACATAGAATGAAGAAAATGTTCATAATCATGGTATCATCAACTGTAGCTTCAGCCTTTCTTAGGATGAAAGGCCCACTACTTTCCATACCATGTCATATGTTGTAAGAGTCCACTGACACTAGTACTGACGAAAGAACAAATATTAATGATATTCCTAAAAACTTCAGAGTATAGACTATGTGTAATAGTGTAGGTTTCTGGGAGCTCCTCTTTTGGGAGCTACCAATTTAGGTCACATAGGGGTGGTCAGACTTGGCACACCTGTAGTGTGGTCTGTTACTGGTACTGGTGGTCAGTTGGGCATGCTGCTAGGCACATAATTCTGTCCAGTTAACCTGTAGTCATTCTTTATCTGACTGACAACTGAAGGAATGCAGGAGACAGTTCCAAGCTAAGACATTAGCTTTCCCCACCTAGTGAAGCTAGTTGCTGCACCAGAGCCAGCCTGGCCCGTACTCGAACCTTCAGAGCCTTCATGGTCTTCTCCATGTGAGTCGAACTGAGATGTGTGTCAGGCTTCGGGGGCTGGGACAGAAAAAAAACATTAGAATAAAATGGAGGGATAGCTACAGTAAGTCCAAGCAAGTCACATAATCTTTGAAATAATTCTTGCACAACATCAAAGCTGTTCACCATTCTTTACACCTTCTTGTTCCCATCTTAAAAATACACATCAAAGAATGTCTAAACATGTCAATTTACATAGACCTATATAGACCTACCTCTTCAGTATTGAGGAACTGTAGCCCTGCTAGCTGCTGGGCCCACACGTAAGGCTTGCCCACCTCCTTCACACACTCGTTGAAGTCTTCAATACTGTTTGGTAAATCCACAACAATACTGTTAGTTCACTTAGGTGTTTCTTAGAATGACTCAATTGAGAATTTTGCAGTTTCAATAAAATGTATGTGTGGACATGCCCCTATAAAACACCATCAATCATAAGAGCAGACTGAGGAATTAAAAAAAAAATGAAAATATTTGAGTTAGAAACAGTCCCTACCTTGCCCTCTCCAGTAGAAACTGGTTGGCAGGGTTGGGCGTGGTGTTGCCATGGTCACCAGGGAACAGACAGCTGAGCAGGGAGGACGGAGACAGCAAATCCCTGGAAAACATCACAAACACATGTGTCACTATTACAGCTGCCGAGGAGGTTATGGTTTCAATTATGAATAGTACAAGCATAACTCTACCCTTGGACAGAAGCTAGCCTGTTACACAGTCACTTGCTGTCAGGTTGATTGGCCTCCTCGGCAAGAGCTTGATAACCTGAGTGTCAGCCTTTTTAGCTTTCATCTGCTCCCCAAGATGGCCAATAGCGGATCTTGGGGAGCAAACAAAAGCTAAAAAGGCTGACACTCAGGCTAAGAGTTTGAAATCACCTTTAACCCATTCTCAAACTACCGATAGGAGCTCAAGATTCATCACTATGAGCCCAGGAGTTTCTGTCACTATGAAATCTAGTCACCACTGCCTCCAACGCTATGTAACTGTTTTGAACTTTGAAGTAACCATGTTCCTAGCCTCCCCTCCTAGCCAAGACCTACCCTCCTGAGATGGAGACTGTGACAGCCTCGGCTGCCGGCTGGAGCTGGACGATGACCGTCACCACCTGCAGAGCCAGCAGGTAGTGGAACGTCAGGGCCAGGCTGGACCCATCTGTGGGGAGGATACAAGATACTACAGTTTCTCCCATACAGAAATACAGCAACTTAAGGGTCAATTGCAAAATAGATATGCATGACACTATGCAAAATACATCAGAAATTAAGACTTCCAGTAGGTTTTCAGGACCTTCAAGTTCACCCTGTGTCCAAGCTTTTACGGTAATCTCTAGTCTTTCTGCTTGTCAACCTTTCCCCATCCAGGTGCTGTTACTCTGTTTGGACATACAGATATACAACTTACAGCTCATCTACCCAAAACAATACTTCCAAGAAAGCTGCTCCCACACCTTTACATTTGATGGTGATGTTGACTTGTAGTGGATGTTTGTGCAGAACTTTCCCCCTCCTGTCTGTGGGGTCTACACTGATGGTACGCCGACGGCGGGACTTCTCTTTGGTCCCCTCCTCATCGTCCGAGTCGCTGTCCACGTCCAGGGCAGCTGAGGTGGACGGTCCGGAGGACTTGGCCGCATCCAGGTCTCCCTCAATGGTCACTGTCAGGGCAGGATCTGGAAATAAAAAAGGTCTTATTATGCTTCATATTTTCTTAACAATAAACAAGAAATTAGAGATTTCAGAGTTCTGAGAAGTACATGTACTTTGAGCTTTTGTGAACTGTGGAGGGCATTATATGAAGTTATTCGATTGAGTACTACCACAATTCCTGAAGGCATGTGCTATATTTATCAGCTTCAAATGCCCTCCCTGTCAATCATCTGTCAAAATCACCTCCCACCCACCATGCAAGATACAACTGAAAGCAATCAGGACCAACAAAAAGTCCCATAAACTCGGCCGCCCAAAACAATACTTCCATACCCAGAAGAAATACTAGTAAGTTACTATAGAAATCAACCCTACTGATTTTTTTTTCCAGTGACTAAGCTTGGACTAAGGTGCAATTTAGTAAATTGTACAGTCTAATCATTAGCAAGTGTCAGGGAGAAAGTGTCCTACCGCAGGCTTGTTGGTAGGCTGAAGACTGGACATACAGCACGTAGAGAGGCCTGGGCAGGAACTGGGCCATCCTGTGCTGCTGTCGCATCTCGTCAAATGGCATCTTTAGCGCCTCCTGGAGGGGCTTGGTAGACTGCAGGGAGAGTACAAAACAAGTAAGCATCACAATGAATGTGAAAGGCAGTATTGATCAAGCCATGTGGCTAAACAAGCTAGGTCTGTGTTTTGAGTTAGTAAGTTGTAATCTTCTAGAAATGTTGAAACGTTAACAGTGGTCTTAATTCATGGCACCACAAATATGCATTTCTAATGTACTACAGAATTGCTTCAACTGCTAACTTCTAACACTGTGAAAACTCTCCTACTGCAAACTTAAGTCTCTGTGAAAATAACTGAATTCACTGTAACAGAAGAGGACATCACATCTTTATATAACATTACCTCCAGCACAGTGTTGAGTCTGGGCAGCAGACTGTCCAGCTGGTCTCGGCGGGTCTGGATCTCCTGTGAGATCTCCTCCTTCTGATCCTCGTAGTCCTTACACTTAGCCGCCAGCCGCTTCCTCTGCTCCAGCTCCCAGTCCAGCCGCGCCAGGGTCAGCTGGTGGGGGTCCTGCTGGGTAACATCCTGACAAAAACAGCAAAGGGGGAAACGTTGGGTACGTTAGATATCCAGGTAAGACGATATACCAAAAAAACAGTTACTCAAGAAACTGGATATGACTTTGGAAACAGTCAGAGAGTTGTCAGAAAAGCAGGTTTATAAGTTTTAGTCAATAAAGAAAAATACTTAACTTACAGGTTTAGAGATATCCTCTGGGGCCTCTTTGTAGAACTCTGCTTCATCAACAAGCTCTATTTCTTCATCCTTGGATCTGTAAATAGATAAAGAAACCATGTGAATAGATTAACAAGTTGGTCCACTTACAAAAATTCTAAATCCCAACAGTACAAGAAGTATGTTGTACAGATACTGTTTCTGCTATGTGTAGCATACTTACTTGAACTCCAGACACTTGGTGATCTCCTTCTGCAGGTGCAGCACCTCGTACAGCAGGTTCTGCAGCTGCAGGTGGTAGCTGTCCACCTTCTGCTTGTGCTCGTGGGTCGTGTCCCGGGCCTTCTTACACCGCATGTGAGCCAATCTATAGCATGGATGTTTAAGATCTTTCATAAAACATTTGTTTTACTACTAGTACTCAGAGCATAGCACATCAGCAGAATTAGAAGATACTGTGCTTGCACCTGCACAAAACCCTGTTTTTCCCGGGTTGGTCTACTATTGCATTAGAATTTTACCTGTTGCAGAGGATATTTTTCCAACATAACATTTGGAAACTACAGACAGGACGTTAAGTTGTTAACCTTTTATACCCGAATATGACCTTATATGAGATGTTTTGCAGAAATGCTAAACACAATACACAACAGATTTCACACAGGCGCAGTATGGCCTGCCGACATGCTTTAGAGCATGAGGTACGGTGTGTTAATTATTAAGCCATTTGATCATATTCTCGTTTAAATCTCTCTTGCCTAGTCTGGCTTTTCTACCAATACTACAATTGTTTCCAATGTGTCACTGGGTACAACAACATTTACATTGTAGGACTGACCTGTTGAGTTTCTTGAGAGTGATGAAGTGCATGCTGGCCTGGATTTTTCTCTCGGCTATCTCAGCAGCCTGTAGGTGGATGAACAGATAACCTTAATTTACACCCAACAGTCCTATCTACCCTATAGCTAGTAGGTCACACAGACTTGACAATTTCATATATTTGAAATCAACATTATGTACACAAAATGTAGTGCCTTATAATTATAGAATACCCTGCAGCACTAGATACATAAATCAAAATAAACCTACATATCTTCACTGCACTCAAAGTGCACAATGTCCATAATTCTAGTAGTAGTACAGTGAAACTTTTACAAGTGACCGCCTCCATATAAGGACCACCTGGCCAATGTGACCACTGTTTGGTGGTTCTTTAAATATTCCTTCCCATTGACAGAAGAATTAATCCTGTCTAATGTGTCTATAGTGACCACCTGTCCACACTGAGCAGATTTTATTGATCCCAAGCAGTCTTCTTATGCAGGTGTGATTCTAATTTTGTTTCTGTACGTACAGCATCCTTCCTTCCGCTGCCCCTGATGTCTTGTATCTCCTGCAGGAGTTGTCTGATCCCGTCGCAGGCTGTCTTGTACAGGCTGACATCCTTGGCCGGGTCTCGCTGGGCTGCCTCCTCCTCCTCACTGTACAGGGAGGCAGACTCACCCTGCAGGGAGGACAGAAAAATTATAAGAATACAAATTCACTGACTGGGATTCCAGATTCCACAATTCCTACATGTAACAGCACTTCATTTTAATCCGTCACTTTTCTGCGTTTTTACAATTGAATCACTGATCAACAAGCGGGTTATTGTGCAATTCAGTAACTCTTTTGTTTATTGTGTGGAGTGTTGTCCCCACCACCACTACACGTGTATCTCTCTTCAAATCTCCCCGCTGTCGTGTCTAGCTATCGTTGTGAAAACAACAACGTAAAATTGGGTCGGTTGATTGGTGACCTCGTCGTTGCAACATTTAATCGTAGTCACCTCACAATTGCACGTTTTTATCATGCACATGGCCTTGGTATTGTATTGCAATTTAAAGTTCTTGCATATGAGGGATGCATTTTGATTGGCATCGGAATGCTAAAAAGTGACGGATTAATATGCTGACGGATTAAAATGAAGTGCTGTTAACGCTTATATGGCCAAAGATTCAACTCTACTCAACTACAGTAAATTGTGAAACTTTTGTAGTAGTTTTATTTTGTGGTACGAGGGACACGGACAGGGGTGTTTCGCAGTTGAAATTTAATTTGTGGCTGAAAGGTCATTGCAAAAAAACGTCCGTGAAAGTTTCATGATTTACAGTGCTTTACCAATTTTTTGGGAATAACTCTAGAGTAGAGTAGAGTAGAGTAGATCTTTCGTCTCGGTAGGAAGTTCTCTTCCACTTTGAGCCGCTCCTTGTAGTTTACTGCGTAGACATGGTCATCTTGTGGGGGTTGTCCAATGCCCGGGGGTTATACACCACTGGATGACTTCTCATGCTCTAGTCTAAGGCCCTCATCAGAATAACCAACCCACTTGTTTTGATAACTGATCATACACTGTCCCACTACTATAATGGACCTTTGATCTGACAGAGATGGGCTTCAATTGCTCACTGGTGTCTGATCCAAGGAATGAGTGATGGTTGATTTTCCTCCCCAAGTTTTGTTAAAATCGCCCCCTCCCCATGCATCAGAAACCCTTTCATCCAACTTCGCCTCCTGCAACAAAGCAGCCCCACATGACAAGGAAACCATGATTCCAGCAGATACCTGGCGATCTCCAGAGTCCATCTTCGGCTTTTTAGAGTCCTTGTCTGTCAGATTGGAGGATGAATCCGTCCGAGACACGCGGACCATCGGCCGCTTCTTTCCAGCGGAGGACGCCATTTTCTCCTCATCTGCATACACAGGTCGCAATTTGCCCGCGCACTTTCACATCACAAGTTGACGATAAGAACCGAAGAAGTTACTTAACCTCCTTAAATATACACTCTATCAGACAATTTATGCTGGGGGCCTTGGATAATTAATCAAATATACAGAATAATTCGCTAATATTGGGAGACAAAGAAAGCTCTGAATCTACCCCGAGATTCTAATGGAATGGCCTAACCAGTTGTTAAACATAGCTTTTGATTCGTATTTAGGTGATGCTAGAAAAAATATGTCTCTTTTACGAAAAAATTGTATCATCCACATAACACAAAATAGTGTTAAGACTAGATTGATAAATATTATTGATAGAATAGATGGCTTAACACTTTAACTAGATACAGTATACATTTAACTAAAGTTTGAAATTGTTCCTAAATAATGAGCTCGCTTCTGTCTAGTGCTGGTTATTGACGCTCCCGGGAAAAAAGTTCTGACGGCGAAGTATCAAAACATAGTAGTGAGCTTTATAAGGTGAATTGGTGGCGTTTCTGATGATTTTTAGGTGTCCGCCAAGCCTAAAAATGCTGCGGCTACAGCAGAGCGGCTTTCTGCTGCGATGCTGTCCACCCAAAACAACAACTGCAGTATTTTCTGTCCGGGACAAGAGCGTTTGGGCAGAAGAGGCGGGGCATCCCAGCGACAGAAATGTCGACTTGCAGTCCAAGATCCCCTTCGCCAGGGCCAAAGTTGGGCCGTTTTTCCAGGACAAGCCGAGACTGACCAACATGTACCTGGAGGATGTGACCTTGAAGGCTTACCTGAAGAGGATTATGCCGGAAGAGGTCAGTATTGGAAGAAGTAGCCCAAAATCCTTGGCTGGGTCATTTGACCTTTTGACCTGTCACTTTGCTTGTCAATGTTCCCCACCCATGTGTTGTCAACCTATTCAGTCAAACCGCCCACCCACCCACCAAACAATACTTCCATACCGTGAAGTAATGTATATAAAGGTTGAAATCATACAATCAAGGACATCATTACACATAATGTCCTTGATACAATGTACCAGCAACTCCAGTGTAACAGTGCTAACTGACCATGCTAAATGGTCGTGCGACCTTTTAGTGTAGTGGTTAGCGTTGGTGACCGCCAAGCGGACAACTCGGGTTCGTTTCCCGGTTGTGACATGCTCGCCCCTACCGGTTTTTACAGTGGGATGTCGGACTCGGAAGATTCGAGGACGAATCTTGAAAGAAAAGGGGGAGTAGTGTAACAGTGCTAACTGACCATGCTAAATGGTCGTGCGACCTTTTAGTGTAGTGGTTAGCGTTGGTGACCGCCAAGCGGACAACTCGGGTTCGTTTCCCGGTTGTGACATGCTCGCCCCTACCGGTTTTTACACCAGTTACACCTCTGTAGAAGTCATCTAACACTGTTTTGTAAATAGTGAAATGACGCAGTATAATATACTGTGTCATTTCACTAATAAGGATACTTTGATTCATGTACATTACTGTATGACTGTATCCGATCAACCCTTAAAGGTCCTACAAGCCATCACCCCCGACCTGGAGCGGTTTGGGCGCCGGGTGGCGACTGACATTGGAGTGCTGGGTCGTGAGTGTGAGCTGAACCCGCCATACCTGACCCAGTACGACGCCTGGGGACGCAGGACGGACGAGGTGGTCACGTGTCAGGCCTGGAGGACGCTACACGACATCTCTGCAGAGGAGGGCATCATAGCCATACCGTATGAGAGGGAGTTTGGCCAGTGGAGGTACTAGAGCAAATTTTGCACATAGACATAATACAGTCAAACCTAGTCTGTCTATACTACTATTACTAGTAGAAGTCATCTCTCAAATCAAGGGACTGGCCAAATGTGAAAAATATGGACCACTGTAGAGAAAAGGCTGTGTCAGCACATGATTTTACTACCCCCTGAAATGTCTTTTTTCGTTGACATTCATCATTCTTATGATGTCTTCCCTAGCCGGCTGTACCAAGTGGCCAAGCTCCACATGTTCAACCCAGCATCAGGGCTTTACTCATGCCCCCTGGCAATGACTGACGGAGCTACAAAGGTCGCTGAGGTAAACGCACATTTCTTTGATATTATGGGTACTACCAGTAGTAAGCTATGAATGTTTTGTTGCCAATTCAGACAAAATATGTTTCCCTTTTTTTTTCTGCCAGGAGGGCCAAAAACAATTTCAACTATACAATGCCAGTGAGAATTTTCAATATAAAAGATATTGACTTTTCCAGCCAAAACCTAATACAGTGAGAAAATCTAAAAAATTGACACCTATATTTATTGCGACAGTTGAGTGGAGACAGTTTACTGTTGGAGAGAGCATACCCTCACCTGGTGTCCCGCAACCCTGCAGACTTCTGGACATCAGGACAGTGGATGACAGAGAGGAGAGGGGGGTCTGATGTGGGTAGGTAGTCGTCATCATCATATCTTGCCATGCCAGCCAGTCTAAATCACGCCCCTCCCCCTTGCGGCCACCATGAAGGTTAAGTTATGTGAGCATGTCCATTTCAGTCAGATATTAAAATTTCACTGCCATGAAGAAAAAGTGGATTACATGCAGTATTAGATGGCAGTTTTTTTACAGTGTAGTTCTCTTTCTTTTAGCCAATGGTACAGAGACCATTGCAGTTCCACAGGAGGATGGGACTCACAGACTGTACGGGTACAAGTGGTTCTCCTCTGCTACAGATGCTGACATGACCCTGACTCTGGCCAGGGTGATGGACAACACTGGAGAGGTAGTACAGGTAGGGGATGCATTAGGTATATTTGCCAATGATCATAATCAGAGATTTCACAGTTTTCATGATCTTCAAGATCACCCCATTTCCTGTGTCTGACCTTTTGACCTCCTGTCATTCTGATGTCAATCGTCCCCCCACTCACATGCTGTCAATCTACTCTGTCCATGCAAATAGATACACAAACCCACAGCTCGCTCAGTCACTCAGCCACCCAAGACAATACTTCCATGCCTTGAAGTAAAAAATACATGTATACAAATACATTAAGTAAACAGTGTTATTTATACATTTTCCTATTCAAACATAGGGCACACGAGGCCTGTCACTGTTCTACCTGGAGACCAGGGACAGCAGCGGACAGCTGAACAACATCCAGGTGCAGCGGCTCAAGAACAAGCTGGGAACCAGGCAGCTGCCAACCGGGGAGCTCCTGCTAGATGGCACTGTTGCACACAAGGTGTGTCAAACTGAATGTGATGCACTCTTTATATATGGAACAATGTATTAAACATTCTCAGTGCTGGAAAATCACCAGGACACCAGGAAGAATTGGAAGGTGTGAAAATGATGGAGAAATTACAGTGTGAGGTTAAAGAAATTATTGAAATAAGTTGTCAGGAAGCGATTTTTAACATGGAAAACATTGTTACAGTCTATCATAGTCAGATCTGTTCAAGTGACCACCTCTACATAAGTGTCACTTAGCCAATGTGACCACTTTTTGGTGGAGAATTTTTCCAATTTGCAGACAAGAATCTTGTCTATAACGACCAGCTGTCCAATAGACCAGATTTTTTCGATCCTGAGTGGTCTTCTTGGGCAGTTTTGACTGCAATCCTTTCATATGCTGTGCAAATTACGTTTACAAACAATACATTTTTTTTAAATCCAGGTATCAGACGAGGGCCGTGGTGTGGCAGCTATAGCAGACATGCTGACCATCACACGTATTCACAACTCCCTGATGGCGTCTGGCTGTATGCGGAGACTGTTGAACCTGGCACGGGACTATAGCACTCGCAGGAGGGTGTTCGGAAAACTCATCTGTGAACACCCTCTTCACATGCAGACACTGGGGAGGATGGAGGTAGTCTTTATAAATAAGTTACCTTGTTAATAGGCTACTTACATTTTGGCCTTCTATCCCCAAAGACATGAGCTGTAGCAAAGCCGTAGTGAATCAAAAAAGCACCATGCTTCACCTCAGTTGAAAATGACAAAAGAAGATAGAAGATAATCCCAAACTTGAATTTTCAACTTCATGTTGGACAGAAGAATTGTGGATAGATGAATGGTTAGAATGCAGATGTCTGTGTGTGACTTGATGTTACCAAATGTTTAACAACAGTATGTCCCTGCTGCCTAATCCTGTAACCAATAGAGAATTGGTATAACCAAATGGCTGTTTCCGTGTGCTAAGGAAGTAAAGGTTGTTTGTTGATATTTCCTACCCAGACAGAGACCAGGGGTGCCACCTTGCTGGTTTTGGAGGTGGGGAGACTGCTGGGTCTACAGGACTGTCAGATGGCATCAGAACAGTACCAGCTGATGCTGAGACTCCTCACTCCTATCACCAAACTCTACACAGCTAAACAGGTACACTTGTTGCTTTGTTACTGGCGTCATATTTGTAGCCAAATATATTTCCAACTTATTACTAGCATGTTTATCATTATTTCTTGCTTCACACGTGGGTGTTGCGTTTATGTTCTGGGTTGTTATCTCCCTTGCAGGCTGTGGCTGTGTGCTCAGAGGGTCTGGAGTCGTTTGGAGGACAAGGCTACATTGAGGACACAGGACTGCCCACTTTCCTCAGAGATGCACAGGTACAGTACTTGAAGTTCTAGTCAGAACTGCTAGGTGTCATTGCTGTATCATAAAAATGCATTTTGCCTGTGCCGAGATCCCTTGGACTGTGTTCCTGTTACCATTGTTGTAATGTTATGCTTTTCCTCCTAATTCTTGACTATTGGATTTTACCTCCTCAGGTTCTGAGTATCTGGGAGGGGACGACCAACGTTCTGTCTCATGACGTGCTGCGTAGCCTGGTGAAGACGAAGGGGGCCGTACTGCAGGCGTTTTACTCTGACACAGCTGCCCGGCTCAAGCAAGCTGTTGTAAAAGAAAATCTCAGGTACTGTACTAAATTAGTACCATACTGAATCATCACTGTACTAAATAAGAAGCTTTTTTTCTATCAACACCATACATCTATCCATCCACCTAACCAGGTTACAACATAACTTGTGATCTCTAGGACATGTGGTGAACCTTGCTATCTTGCCACTATCTTGTTCCTCAACATACGGGGCCTTCGGGAAATCATTGTGTACCAGTTTGGTGCTATACTGTATTTATGTTAACTGGAAGGTACCCTTTTATGTTTGATTAACTTTTTACATGTACTTGTAGTTCTAGTCAGAACTTCTAGGTGTAGCTGCTGCATTGTGATGAATTTGATCCCAAACATGACAACTCCAACTCATCTTTTAAAGACTAGTTTTCCACCTTCCCTACAGACCAAGCTGCCAAGCTGTGGAACTGGCCCTTCATAAGACCATGGCTTTTGCACAGAAGGCAGCCAGTCAGGAGCCAGCAAAACTGGAGGTGGCAGCCAGGGACCTATCCTACAGTCTGGCCAGAACATACATAGGTACGTGTGTGCACTCATTTGTCACATTCAAGTTGTTACCTCCGGAGATGGAGGTATCGTTTTTGGTGGGTTTGTCTGTAGGCTTGTGTGTATGTTTTCCTTGACTTCGTAGGTTGACAAGATTGGCAGGCAGATTGGCAGGCAGAATGACAGGAGGTCAAATGGTCAGACACAGGATATGGGGTGGACATGAAGGTCATGAAAACTCAAAATTCTTCCTGGAAGTCTGAAATCTCTGAAGATTTGATTCATTCACATCGTCGTATAGAGAATAAAGAAATCATTTTTCATTTTCTTGCGTGAATAATCGCAGCCTTCCATCAAGTTAATGCTAGAAATTGATTTTTGCCCTGTGTTTGTAGGGCGAGACAGTTGCTTTGAACCCTTGCACTGTGTAAGATTGATGTAAGCTAGGAAGTTACCGACATTTCTATCATAGCTGTAACATCCAGTGATGAATCACTGCCATTAAATACTGTCCACGGCCGATATTTTTCACCAAGTCTGCTCTTTAAAAAGGTCAGAATTTGTGTCTGTACATCCATTTGTTATAAACTAGTACAGACACCCTTTGGCATAATATACCTGTACCATATTTTATTGGCTGCTGGTAGCTGCAGATAGACTTTCCCTGAGGATACATAATACAAAATAAATCAAACTACTGGAGAAATCCTCTGAGGAGTCAGACGTTTCACGGAGCATCTTTCATCAGTGACTGAGGATGAGAATGAGAATTCGTAAAGTTGTTTGATTTATTTAGCATTATGAAATGTTTTACTTTTGTGAACAGACAGACTGCCCCTATGGCTTACAGATACCTGGCTAACTGAGAGAGTGAATGAATGTTTTACCTGGATGGCTCGCCCTGAGGATGCTCATTAATACCTGACCCTGTCATTCAAATTAGCATACTTACTCATGTCCCTTGTTGAAAATGTATTAAAAAAAACTAGAAAGGCTGATATTCAATTGGGAGCAAATACAGCATATTTCAAACCAAGACATGCCAATTCACATGGAACTTTTAACCTGAAGAAAATATTTCTTCCTTTTGCTCATTACCAATAACTTAAAACAAAATTAATCAATAATTGTTGTTAGAAGCTATTGCTTGTATGTGTATCTCAATGATAACTGCAAACTAGCAGGTTTAGGTGAAGACCATGATCCGTAATAAGTGAGTTCTCACCTGTGTTACCTGTCCACAGGTGCTCTGATGTTGGAACATGCCAGTTGGGACCAGGCCTCTCCTACAGACATCACTGCAGCTGTCAGGTGAGGTATTATTACCTAGAGATGTGTATGGAGGTTTTGTTTTCTGTGTAAGAAGGTTTGGTTTCTGTGTATTGAGGTTTTGTTTTCCATGTACAGATGGTTTTGCTTTTGGTGTGTCTGTGTGTTTGCTTGTGTTTCCGAAGTTATTTCCACATTCTAGGCATGTCAGGGACACTGAAATTAGGTCAAAGGTCCCAGAAAAGTTTATCTCAGTTGTTTTCAATCTCCTGCTTATGGGTGCTAATCGTAATGTGCGTACTAGACAAAGTCAGCAAGAAATTCACAACAAAGAATAAAAAAAGAAATTCCCAAAAATGATTTCACCCAGATGATTCCAATTTCTCGTTGAACAATGTTTTACGTTTCATTTGCTCTGGTATTTCCTAGATGGTGCCAGCAGGATCTGTGTCCAGTGGTGACCTCTGACCTGGCTGGTTGCTATGGTAATGAAGGCATGGCCCAGGACACAGCACTCGTTATGGAGGGGTACCAGGGTGGTGCTTCATCACCGTGATTATAAATATAAACACGAAACATGAGCAGATTATGTATAATGTACTTGTAAATTTTACTGCCTTTACAATGGCCTAATGAGGGTTCACCTCGCAGGAAGGCTATGAGATCGATCCATGCCAAGTCATACCAAAGACCTTGAAAATGGTACATTCTGCCTTCTCTGCTTAGCACTTGGTATTTGGGAAAGATTGGACTGGCCCCCTGCTGTAGTAATTTGAGTGAGTACAAAGTTGAGAGACCCAAGGGCTATTGAAATGGAGATGGTGTCACCCAATGCACCATAAATGATGTGGGAAGGACTTTGACTTGTTGTACTTGTAAATTTTTAACATAATAGAATGTGGAGTTTCTAACAAATGTGTATAAAGATGTAAGACAAATATGTGATGGATTTACATATTGTCAATAGCAGATGTGGGTGTTGTCAAATAATCAGGGAATTGGTATAAGAAAGTATGATATTTCATAGAGGTATGAGATCTTTTTTTGTTTAGTTGAGGGTGACAGAAAGCTGTATGTATAAAAGGATGTGGACCTGAGAGGTATTTTGGTGACATGATTATTTTTAAGTACAATGTACTAGTATTCAATATCCATATTGATGGCTAAAGTGATTTTTACACCCAGTAGCTCAATATTCAGAATTATTTATGAAAGATCTATACACATGTACTTATTATTATGTTATTACTGTATCATGTGAATTTATTGTTCTTGCCGATACTGTATTCGGATTGAAAATGAACTTGCTGATTACAATGGATTGTGTTTCAAGATTTATACAGCACTAAGTAGATATCTCATTTCCCAAGAGTATAATAAAGCCTTCAACCAAACAGTGACCTTCTGAAATTGCAACATGACAGAGGCAAAATCAAGTCTCCTGTGATCTCATTTATAAGCCTTATACTTCATTTAGCACAGTTTCCACTCCAGGAGGTGCCTGTAGCAGTAATTAATGGCAGTGACAGGCCAGGAGGCTTGAAGTAGAATGACACAAATTAGTTCTGATTTAAGATGTAGCCGCGGCGCATCGTGTTCTAAAGATTTGCGACACATGTCCTATGCCGTTAAGGCTTCACTTTTATGACCCGTTGGTGGGCTTGAATGGTGTGCGGAGTTACCTTAAGTACAGAAGAGTGCAGGTACAAAATAAGTTCATTCATCACAATGCTTTCGGACTATACAGAGAAATCCTTACAGATGAGGTGCTTTCTGTCAGAGCACTATTCTAGAAAATCACCAGTCACACCTTCACATGATGAGGTAATAAGACTAGAAAGGCAACATTTTTCAAGCAAATACAGGATGCTAACCTTCTTGTCATCTAGCCTAACTCTCTCTTATATAATGAAATTGGCCTGAGAAGCTGATGTGTTATGCTGAAGGATGGTTGTACAGATTCATGTTGAGTCTGACAGAATCGAGAGGCTGTCTGAAGACAGGTATGAATAATTGGCATTGCGTAGGCAGACTGCCTTACTACTGAGTACTGGCGTCCGAGTGTCAGAACCGTACAAAGGAGCCGCAAACACATGGGGATGACACGGGATCCATGGAAGCAAGGACTCTAACCTCCTTGGTGAAAGCGAACCTAAGCTTGTTTTGTGGAACAAGATATCAGACGATTTCCGACACAACCACGCGTACGTGTCTTTCTCAGCAAAATCCTGTGAAATATAACCACATAACAACCTCGGTTGATGTTTTCAAACATGTACCATCGTACACATGGCATATTACATTCTATAGTGCCACTCCACTCAAGGTTAAAATTGTTTGTTTCTTTCGCATAACAAGTAACCCGCCACTAGGCGTAACATAAAATTTTACAGTAAGCACCTACAGACGTCTCTACGACATTGTGGCCTTGCAAAGTTTCTAACAATGACAAATTGTCATGTCTGGGAGTTATCTTAAACAGATACTGTCATTTGGAACTCATTTCCGCCACCCCTTGAGGGAACAGTAAACAAGATTGCCGTGTGACGTCCGCGGAAGTTGAGGGGCAAGGCCGTATGCCCACAGGGCAACCCCTGTCCTTGGTGCTGAACACGTCACCAACAATGTTGTTACTCTCCGAGCAGAGGTTTGGGTTTGGGGTAGTTTTGGCGTGTTTTTAGGCTTAGGTTGGGTTAGGTTGGGATGAAAAAAATTCCTTTGCAAAAAAAAGAAAGAAACCCTAATAAAAAAAAGCCTAAAAATACGCCCAAACCCCCCAAAACCCAAACCTCTGCTTGGAGAGTACAATGTTGTAGGAATCATGACATGTTCGTAAAGGCTTTATTTTCGTGGGTTTTCTTTGTGACCTCTCCACCGCAAATCACGTCACTGTTAATATAACGTTCCTTGTACTTACTACCGTAATACAGAATGTTGTTTCGACAGCATAATCAAAATACCGCGAAAAAAAACACTGCAAAATCAGTCCTGAAAGTAACTGAATTTACAATATGTAGGTACAGTCTGTAGGATTCCTGGTCATTTGGTCTCTTGTTTGCAACACGATTCTCTATCACCACTGATCACGCTTGGACAAGTGGGATGAACATGTTCTTCCCGCGAAGAACTTCACCGTATGAAACATTCAGGACAACACCTGTCCTTGGTGCTGAAAACGTCGTGCACACTGTTGTGGTATAACGGTGCACACCAATATTCTTTCGCGGCAAAAAAAGTAGTGATTGAAGGGTTTCAAGGGTCCAGGTTTGAGTTTGCATCACTCAAAATCTGCTGCAAAATGACATTAGATCCTAGCGTGGCTGAAAATCGTACGGACTGATATGTTTTGGGCTAGAAATCGACTTGAGTCTGGAGCCTTACTTCCGCATATGCCTCCGCGATTAAAGTGATGCGCCCGTTTGCCCCGGATTGACCTGTGTAGCGTTGCGCAACCTGAATCACAATACCTTATGCCGTGGATTATTATACAGTTATTTTGCTTCAGAATTATTCCCGACAAAAGAGACTGTTACTAGACTTGAGGGAATACATGCAGGGTGTGAATGAATTGAAATCCGAAAAAAAATTAATGAGCCCCACGAAAATCTCTTGTCACATTTCATTGAACATAAGACAAAGCCGGGATTTTCCCACTCCAAACACCGTCCTATGAACCCCCCAGGCCCGAAAATGCATGTCGTGGACTTGTTAGATATTCGAGTAGTGGTTACCAGATACCTCCATTTGCAAGTCTATCTAAGTGCTTCCTTGGCTAAGTGCTGGCGACAAAAATCTTTTTTCTCTTTCTAATGATCTAATCTGCATGAAACACGAGTGGTGGACAAAGGGTAAAATGAGCTAAAGTCCTTCTGACTCTCTATCTACGAGTAACAGTCTCTCAGGGAAGGGACTCACGTCATACCCCGACGACGATGGAATCCGGGGACTACTTTTTAAGCACTTAGGCTATATCCAAGGTCTCTGCACACGTACTTCAGTGACCCGTGCCCTCTAGGTAATGTTACTTAAGATTAGACGTGCATGAAAGAAGATGGGCACGCACTGAATATTCGGCGAAAGTTTGACAAACGCTGATGGGTTTTGGTAGAGTCTAGATGTTGAGAGGACTCTTTGTGGCGAACGTATGGAACCGGACATGTCTGCATTTGCGAAATTTCTCCAGGCGTAGCTCGGCTTTCGTTCAAAGTGCGGTTCAAATCGATTTGGGAGTACATGAGTCTGGAATTGCTTTTACATCGCTAGTGAAGTGGGGAGTCCTGTGCTTCTTTTTTTCATTTTCACACACACACACACACACACACACACACACGCACACACACACACACACACACAAACACACACACACGTGTGTGGATACACAAACAAACAAACACACGCACAAACAAACACACACACACACACACACATACAAGCGCGTGCAAATTTATTAACTCATAGCCAAAAATATGCTTTTATTTCAACTGTTATTCCAAATCCTTTGAAATCCAGATTTTAAGCCATAAATAAGCTTTCAAGAAAGACGGTAGCCGAGCGCGCACGCAACATGAAAGCCGATATCTAAAAGCAGTCTTAAAACTTCTAAAATGACGGAGTCTTTACGCACACTTTATATCAGATTTCATACAGTGCCAGTATAAAATTCGTCATAGGAAACATTCAGAACAACACCTGTCCTTGGTGCTGAAAACGCCATGCACAATGTTATGGTATAACGGTGCACATCTCTATTTCCCCCCGATAGTCCGCGGCAAAAACAAATAGTGATTGAAGGGTTTTGATGGTCCAGGTTTGAGTTCGCATCCCTCGTACGTATTCTGTTGCAAACCGACATTAAATGGTAGCATGGCTGCAAATTGTAGAGTGGTATGTTTTTGAAGAAAATCCACTTGGGGCTGGAGCCTTACTTTCGGATATGCTTGTGTTTCATACAGTGCCAGTATAGAATTCGCGGTGACAGCATTAAGCCGATGGCGTCACTCTTTCTTTGCACAATTAAAGAGCGACGCACGACTGAAAATCGACTCATTGACTCATCTGATATACCGACAAACTCTATTGAGCAGACAGGGTAAGACTTCATTTGAACTTACCAGATAAATAGTAAGGTGAACCGTTAATGAAATTGTTGCTCCCTAAAGAAGTGTAAAACCGGCACCGCGTGTCAAACGATCTCCCAGGGCCTTGTAATAAATCAAATCCCTGCGTTACGATTCAATTGAGTTTTTTTAGGACCGTTTACAAGTGTAGCCATAGCAACGTAACAGCAACAGAGGGTTATTTCTGTGGCTCGTTTCAAACGTAGTGTTTAGACTAGCAGATGGTATTAATTTTTTTTACAACGGTTTTAGAAATGATTTTAGATAGGACGGTTATTGTACTGTCTTCGCAACCATTATTATGTCGCATTATGTCGGCTCTTTTGCTGTCGTGCATAGATGTTTCCCTTAGTTGAACCGAATAGAAGAATACTATTGCAATATTCCAATGAGAAATGGCAACAAAGACATTATGTCTACATGGGATCTTCCCTGTGAAGCATCCTGCCGTTTTTCTCTTTGATAAGCCGATGTTTTCACGGTTTTGCATTCCCATCACACGTCTACCAAATCGCACGGTACGAAACGAATGCATCAGCTTGCTTGCAAGTGTTTTCCGCGGGATTATTATCTATGTATCGATTATTATCTATGTATCGCAGATTCGTTTGGCAAGCGTGGCGAATTTTTCTGGGATCGATCCAAGCAGGCGGCATCCTCTTTCGTCTACGTACTAGTAATCCGTAATTGTCGTGACGCACGTACCCAAAGTGTTTATACTCGTATGGTGTTACAGCAGCGGGCGAGGCACGGAAGGAATCATTTACGCTCCAAGAAAAAAAATTGATTGACTGACTTGTTTTGAAAGCAAATTTCTCGCGTTTTCGTCACCAAGAGCAAGCGAGCAAGGGGTTGCCTTGGTGCAAAAACGTTCTTCTGTGACGCAAGTTGTGCGCAAATGGGTTTGGTATAAGGCCAAGGAAGTTAGAGGGCGACATTTTATGTCACTTCAACGGAGGCATCCAAAATTTTATGAGAGCTTTCTCTCACCGCAACAGCCTCAACAAGCTAGTGGTAACTTCGCGCCAAAAGCCGCGTAGGCTTTGGAACAAATAAGCGACGATCAATGAGTTCAATAATTCGCCATGACCTTCCTTTGTGCGGTGTACTTGCTTCACGACGGCAGCTGGTTAACCTTTGAATTATTATAAATTCCATCCCAGACGCGTTTTACATGTACGTGTCTGGATTTGACAAAACAGATCCCCCTTTTTCTCCCCTTATTGTGGATTGTTCCACCCACGCAATCCAACAAAAAGGGCAGGCTACGCCCCCTCGCTCTCACTTCCACTGTTCCAATATGGCTGCGGCTGTAGCGGCGAGCTGGGCGGGTATGACTCGGTAACGCGGCGGGAAGATGGCTAAGAATACTACGATCTACCTGCGGATCAGCGAGGCCAAGAATCTCCCACCGAGAGATGCGATCCTCGGGTGAGTACAGCTCCACACTAAACGGCCTGGTTCCTTCTGAACAGTTTCCTTTGCATGCGCGATTTTTGCGCTTGTCCGTGTATTAGATTCACAACTGCACCCAAAACACGCTCGCATCTGTACTGTGTGTGTATTGTGCATGCTTGATCTTATACCGGAAGCTTGCGGTTGGGACGAAAACATCGTTAGCTGAACAGATTTACGAATTCGTTGCATCGAAAACGACTTTTTCTCAGCTCTTCCTGACGTTTTGTATCATTTTCCGTTGCCATTTTCAGTCCGGGGACGGGAGATCCGTACTGCACAGTAAAGGTGGACAATGAAACCGTAGCAAGGTAAGAAACATCTATTAAAGCTGTTATTTTGAGATTATAGGACGAGAGGAAAATTGTACTGGAAAAAAGGGAATAAACTGTGCTTGTTTTTAGGACACCGCACCGCCCTGCTTTTTGTTTACATTCAGGGTATCAAATTTCACTAGCAGAATCATGGTACTGAAAGTAGTGTTGCACGAGGTTGTGCTTTCCCTTATGTAGTAACCTAAAGAAATCGCTATCCCTACATTGTTTCGACCATATGGAAAAGGTCTCTTTATAATCTTCAGTAAAATCATCTTTTCGAAATGTTAAGCGGTCTTTTACACATTTTGGGATTAAGTATTATATTTCCAAAATGCAGTCAAATATTGCTCTTAGGTGAAGGTTCATCAGCAAACAGTATGAAAATGTATTCACACCAGATTTGTTTTTCGTTTTCCTCTCTACCAAGTTATAACCCCAAAAAATAGTAAAAAACATAAACTTCCTGCTAGGGGTAACTTGTTTATTTCTCAAGCATTTACAAATTGACCAGCTTTTGTAAGTAAAAATGTTATATTATTGAATTGAATGTCTTTTGTTGAACAGATGTAAAAAGACCTTGTAAGTTGTTGCACTGTCCACATGCTACCTTCCTGACATTACATTGTGTATCCAACCCTGTATGAATCAACCTGTATAACTGCCCTTTGGCATTACAAGGACCTATGGTGGCAGCTGGTTATAGTACATACATGCACACATACAAACAGTTAGCCTTACAATAGCTCAATGGAAAAGCCCTGATCTCAATTGGCAATAACATGATATTTATCTATGGGGTATCTATGGGGTATTTTGACTTCACAGTAAGTAGTCACCACAAAAACTGCAAAAATTAAAATCATGTTGCCTGTAGGTCTATGTTATGCTTGAGCTTATTGGAACCCAATCACAACATTATCATTAAGCCTGTACCACGTAGGCTGTAGATAAACATTACATGTTTGATTAGCCTTTAAAGGCCCTTTGTGGTGTAGTTTATGCACTGGTTGATACTAATGGGCATTAGGTAGACAGACTGAAGGTCGAATTATTCACAAGGCACAAGATTTATTTTTGTACTTTCAATTAACTTTGCATTAACCCATGGACAAGAGTTTACCATAAACAATTTTTATTTATTTTGTTTCAGTACTCAAGCTTAATGTTAACAATTTATTTTGCCAATTGGGCAAGATAGCTGAAAACACTCACTGTTACAGTTGCGGTTTACAATGTTAAAAGTTATTTTATCCAGTGTTTTTTTTTAATTTAAAAGTATTTTTTGTCAGTATAAAAAGCTTTGCTCAGTTTGATATTTTTCTTTGAAACCATACCTTTTCTTGTTACCATTGATCATGCTATTGCAGTAATGCTCAGTATGAAATAAGTGGCATCCAACATGGAGAGGACTTCTTTGAAATCATATTTTTTTCTTTGCATGTTAACCTAAGTAATGCTAACACAGTAATGCTCAGTATCAATTAGCTGTATGCAGCACGGAAACTCTCCCAGACATACATGTACCCTGGGACTGCCTTACACGCTACACCAGTGACTACATTACGGGAACATATGCCGTACTTAGGCCACGGTAATTGATTTTATGGATGTCATCCTCCTTTGAAGCCCCCGACTCTGATGTGACAGTGCAATAAAGAATATCGACCTCCATAACGTTTTATAACCTTTGCCAATTACAACATTGTTTATCCCTGTACATAGTGCAGTAAAATTTTCAAACGGTTCACATATAACAGACAGTAGTCATCTATTTTGTACAGTTTGATAGTACAAAGATGTTAAAAGAGCCAGTATTTTGATGGAAATAGGCTAAGATTAGTGCACCCACAGAAGTTGTCCATAAAATTGTGTTACGTTGGCCTCAGTAAAGAACATGATAATCTGGTCTCCTGGGATGTCTGTATGCATCCAATCCGTTCGGTGTGGTAGTATTATCTACACACGAGATCTAAATTGGACATCCAAATCTGCAATGTAGCGTCATATATAGGCAGATTACACCCCACAAGATGAGGTGAGGATGACTTTAGGAGACTGTTGGTAAGGTCACACCAAGTCTATTTGTTGGTTCTCTGATTTTTTTTAGAAAAAATATGAAGCAACGGTGCAAAAATAAAAGCACACCCAGGCAACGTCATAAAGTAACATACCAGGCTGTTTTATAAACAAACAAATAAACAAACAATTGATTTTTAAGTTTTAATCAAATCACTGCATTGAGAGAATGAAAAAAACTGACTGTGAAACTGTGAAACAACTAGAAAGACAAGGACTTCCTTCAACGGTTGAGGACAAATTTATGAGCATTTTGGGGTTGATTTAGTACCTGATTCATTGTAGAAACTCAACACCTCTCCACAGTGGCAGCTCTTATTATTATCAGTCTGTATTGAGCTCACGTAAACATTTCCTTGAAACAAAAGCTTCAATCTATATCCAGACATTCTGTGCTGTGAGGCAATTGATTTGGGTCATAGGTCAATAGAACATCTGGGTATGGCTGTTATCTGTCTATTTTTGGCACATTAGAAAATCAATGAGAGATGTCAAACATCCGGAAATAGGTCAACTTTGCTCATCAAATATTTATCAACTTTATGATGTGCTTCCTTTTGTCCTCTTACTGATATACATGGTTCTTGAACTGTAATGTGACAGCTACATTCCAGTCACTCTAAGGACACATTTTTTCGTGCTTCTGAATTTAACTTCTGAATCGTCTTATGTTCTAAATCGTCTTAGATTTAAGTCTTAGATGTCTGAATTTGATAAAGTGGCCCTGTGTGTTTCTGTGTGTGTGTGTGTGTGTGTGTGTGTGTGTGTGTGTGTGTGTGTGTGTTGTGTGCGTATGTGTCTGTATGTGTATGTATGTATTTTATTGGGGTTGATTCTAAAAGGGTTGTTGCCATTTCAATTCATGTTTTGATCCCAGCCATACTTTCAGTGCATTACAAAGCTCCCTTAATGCATTAATGGTCAGGGAACATAATCCACTTGATGTGGAAATATATCCAGACAAATCGAAATCAGGCAAAGGCCAAAGCTAAGACTACCATTTTTCAGGGCACATCAGTATTCAACATAATTAACAAGGATAGCATCTGATTCAACAGTTAGCTGGATTCTCAAAACCCTTTGATCACCTATTTCAAATATATTGGACAGTAGTTGGAAAGATTTTCCAAACTGTAATCTATATTTTCTAAGAAACTTCAGTCTGAAGGGAATCTGCTCAAGGGCACTAAGAAAATTACAGGCACTTCTTCCTCTGACCAAGGCCAAGAGCTACTAACAAAGCTAAGCTTTAAGTGCCCACTCAAGGTAATTGAAGAAAATTCGGTGGCTAGGCAGCCACTTTTAGACATAATTCTGAATCAATGGATCAATGGGAAAATCATCTAAGGGAGCAGCAAAAATAACCAATGTGGTCAGGTAGTTCTTATGCAGAGGCAGTCACTAGCACAGGTTTACCTATATTCTACCCAAGAAACCAACCAACACCACACCGGTGAAGTTATGTATAAAGAGATCTACCAAAGCAGTACCAGTAATTCTTGTAATGCAGACTAGCCTTCAGATATTCTGGTGATCAAAACACACTTGAGAAGGCCTGGATAACAGCCTTTCTTTTATGTGGCTAAGTCTTAGGGTACTTGGCAGAGTTACATAAAACTAAAACTGCGAGGGCGTTGTTAAACAAACTACAGACCTGTATTAAGTTTCCTCTCTTCCCTTAAGCAAAGTGACTTCACTTTGAGTGAGTCAGATTGGTTTTACTCCTACTCCAGACCAGATTTTCCTTAGCCAGAGGCATCCATCTCTCACACACACAGTAAGCCAGCCTGGATTTAACTCTACCGTCATAATGGATCGGTTTTACGCGCTTTTTTGTCACTTCCCGATAAATAAACGTTTGATGTTGAGATTGCGTAGGTTACCAGGTAAGGTAATTGATAGAGGAAGCTTCAGATTGGAAGTGATAATCTCACACCTGTTGCATGCCAACCATGCTAAGTGTGAAACCACATGTTCAATATAACATTACATACGTTAGCCATGCTCTTAGCCTGTTGCATGCCATATCAGCTAATATCACTGCAAATTCAGCACCAAGGACAGGCTAGTTTTTTCTCGGTGATACTATTTTGAGATAGGAGGGAAACGGACATTTTCAGTGTTTTAAATTGTGATTGAAACAATTATGTAAAGCAGTAGGAAGACTACTTTACTGTGAAGCACCATGAGAACCATGAAAACAAGACCACCGCAAAAGTTTCAAGATTTACACCATATTTGTATCCATCATATATAACCAGGTAAACAGTAACAGACTGAACAAGACACGGACACCATAATCTAGCCATGCTCTTAGCCTTTTATTGTCTGCTGGATGCCATATCAGCTAATATCACTGCAAATTCAGCACCAAGGACAGGATAGTTATTTTCTCGGTGGTTGTATTTTGGGATAGGAGGGAAATGGACGTTTTCACTGTGTTTTAAATTTGTGATTGAAACAATTCTGTAATGCAGTATTAAAACTACTGTACTATGGAGCAGTCACCGCAAAAAATCACAAAAACAAAACCACCGCAAAAGTTTCAAGATTTACACCCTATTTGTATCCGTCATATATTAACCAGGGTAAACAGTTACAGTCTGAACAAGACACAGACACCATAATGTAACGTTACAAGCTGCATAAGGAACTAATTGGTCAGAGCCTATTATCCAAATTGATTACTACGTTGCCCGTGTGCCCAGACATCTGTTAATCAATGAGCAGCTACTGTGGCCCCAGAGTGGACTCGGATGAGTGGGTATTCTTGTCGGGGTGCAAATTACCAACCTGCAAGCTTCCCTCAGCAGAAAAAGCTGCAATAGCGTTTGAAAGCTGATATTTTGTAGGTTGAATGAACTTGTGGGTTGGTCTGATGTTATACATCAACATGGCATACGTACACCAGTGACATC